TACCAACTAAATTACACGGTAATATTATAATTACAATATTAATTAAAATTGTAAATTTATAATTATAATATGATATTAAAGGTGTGCTTGGAATATGATTGGAAGTTTTTTTTCTTATAGTTATGTTGTACTTTTATATATATGTATATTCGATAATTTTTTTTTTATTTTTTCCAAAGGTTTTAGAAAATCACAACAAATTTACAATAAATTTATATATGAAATCAAAATCTTCATTTTAGAACTTTCTAGCTGTGCTTTTATAGATAACACCTAATATTTAATATTTAATATAATTATAAAATTACTTATTAAAACTTAACCTTATTTAATTTAATTACATTACAATTTATAATGCTTTATTTTAAAAAAACTTTTTTATTTATTTGAAAATTCTATAAAAAATTAAAAATTCATTTCTACTATTTCCCCACAAAATCCAGAATAATATCCATCATATAAAACCTAAAAAACCTATATTATTACGAAAAAATTTATCATATATCATTTACAGTACTTTTAAAAACTAAATAATTAAATATTAAAATAATTTTTAATTACAACTATAATACAATATAATTCAATATAACTATAACTACAATTATAATTATACCACCTCACAACAATCTCACCTCCAAATGACCTCAAAATTTTCGCTTCAGAGCCCTGAGACCCCAGAGCAGGAGGAGGGAAGCGGGCCGGAAAGAAGTACACGGTTCAAGGTTGATGGACTGGAGCACAGCAAACCCAATGTTGGGCCCAGTTAGGCCCAAATTTCATATCTCTACTTCATTCTGGGCTTCGTGAATTAACAAGACACGACACAGGATTTTCCTCGGTATTTCCGAAGAAGAAAAATATTATAAATTGGGAAAATCCTGTTCTAGCGCGACTCCACCAAGGAAGATGACCGCTCTTACCATCTCATTCGTTTCCATCAACAATCCTCAAAGCAAGCTCGTTCATGGTAATCCTAACTTCTGTAATTTATTGTGAGATTCCTGAAGATTCTTGATTTCTTTCATTTTAAGGTGCGTGATTTCAGAAGAAGGTGTTAGATTTAGCCATGATGGAAGTGGACTGTAAATAGCGTCTCTTTGGTGTTGTTATTTATATTGGTGGGCTTTGTTCATGTGGGGTTTTGATTCTGATGATTCTACATACTGCATTGCATTTGATGTTGTTGTTCTTGCCTGCCCTTTATTGTAAATTGCTGGTTGCTACTTGCTAGGTTCTTTGAGGTCAGTGGATCAATGTCTTTTCAGCACAAATGCAAAACCCAGTCCGTGTAGAAAGTCACTTGCTATTCGAGCAGGGTATGTATGTTATTCTGTTTTGGAAATGGGATGTCTCATTCTTGTTGCATTTCTTTCTATTTTCTTGTTTCTTAATTGCTTGACCATTTTTATGAATGACTACTTGTGGGTAACCCTTTTTTCTTTCCTATTTGTTTGACTGTTGAAGTTCTTCCAGCGTAAATGGGATGCATTTCCTCTGGCATTAGTTGTGTATTCAGATTGGATGTTATTAAGAAGTTGTCAAGAAATATATATCTTTTTTCTTCTCTTAATGATCTGTGTGGCGTTATGTTGGTGCTCTCAGAGCTCTTGTAAAGCCTTTTCATGTTAATTATTCTTCATATGGATCCTTGTCATGTCAACTATTTATGTTTGTTTACAAACGCTTGCTTTCTTTTTGAGTTCAGTAGGGATGGTGGAAGAGAGGGTAATGCAGGTCTCTTCATTGGTGGCTTTATATTGGGAGGACTAGTTGCTGGAACATTGGGCTGTGTGTATGCTCCCAAGGTATGTTAGGATTTTCTCTTCTATTTACCATAGTTGTATTTCCATTCCGGGTCTTGTTCTTGCATGTGCAATTCCTTTATCTTCTTTAAGTTGTTTGTTTTTATGATTTGATATTGTCCAATGTAATAAAAGGGGAACTTTATTTTTAAAGGAAAGTAAATGTTCAATATGGCCCATATAGGCTCAGCAAGCATGTAGGATTGGCCTTTGGTGGCCAATTTGGGCTTAGCGAGTATGTGTAATTGGTCTTCAGTTTGGGTTATGGAAAATGGTTATGCACTTAGAAGTCTGAAGGAATGTGTGATCAGTTTTGTTTAATATAATGTTTATCTAAATTTTGCAGATTAGCAAGGTACTAGCAGGAGTTGACAGAAAAGATTTGATGAAAAAGCTGCCAAAATTTATATATGATGAAGAAAAGGCTTTGGAGGTAGAAATTTTCAGTCAATTATCATCTATTTCTTACCTCAGTCCCCTTTCTCCACTTTTTCATCCTGCTTTTGCCACAAAGTAGGATCACATCAAATGAGTGTGATGTTACTTACGCTGAGTGGAAGACCATATATATCATCTATTTCAATCATGCTCACTATGTGTAAAAATCCTTATGGTCATGTCAGTTAATTGCATGGCTATGACATGAAAATAAAATAAAGATATAGGGAGTGTATGACAAGGTCACAAGGTAGTGATAAAGTTTATGTATTTTCTATCAAGTAGTGGCAATAAGGCAGTAACAACTAAAACCTAGGTCCGGGCCAGGGCCTTGTAGTATTACCATCCCAGTTCCACTTATTAAAATGGTAGTTGGCCTTATTCCCACTTTTCCATTGTTTTCGTCTGTTTTACTTCATTTTCATGTAATAACCATGGAATAACCATTCTTTTAGCACCTATGCTGTTAGGCAAAGTAACCATGCTGTTAATAATTCCAGGTCTGTTAGGTATCCAATTTAGCACAAAGATTGGTATAAATGACAGCAGCTTACATGTTTATCTGTTGTTATCTGTTTTGTTTGTCTATAATCAGGAAATGTTTTCAAGTGTTGAGCTCAAATCTAGGATCTTTATTTTAGGCCGCAACTAAAATAGCTTAATTCATCTAACTCAGTCATGATATCTTGTAAATGCATCTTCATTTAAGGTCTATGCTGAATTTCTTTGATAAGTTTTTCATAAGCTTGATCATGTGTCGCTATGACAACAGAAAAACCGCCAAATGCTGGAAGATAAGATTGCGCAGCTCAATTTTGCCATAGACGATGTTTCTGCTCAGCTGCATGCAACTGATGCCAGAAGTTAAGATGCTGTCAGTCCTGTGAAATTGAAGCTTTTACATTACAAAAACTAGTTAACTGTGACTTGAACTAGAAAATAAGGTTCAATTCCACCTTTTCCTGTAAGATCTTCAAGTGGATGATAGGCTTCTTTCCTTCCCTAAAGACATTTTACATTTTTACTTTATTCATGAAAACTAGAGAGCATATATTGCTTTTACACTTTGGGGGACAGAGCAGGATGCATTTACTGACAGAAAACGAGAGAGCATACGTCGACCCTTTTCTCACTTGCCAAAGTCAACTCATGATGTTCCCCCTTGAGTAGAAGCTCCTCTATGTGAAACTCTTAGCATGATTCCATCCCCTAGCGGAGATGAGTTGCTTAAAATTAGTTATTTTTTCCAATTATAAATACCACCCCAAAATCTGCAATAACTTGCGTACAAACTAACATGTTTCCTAAACAAGCAAATTCATCATGATTCTTGATAGTACCTCCAAACCACCTTTCTGTTCTGTGCAATGTGCATGATGCGCATGTTCTTGCATCAACCATTGCATTATTGAGTTTCCCTTCATCTGTTCAAAAAAGAAACAAAAAAAAATTTGAGTCTCCATCTCTCCCCTGCTCCGATTCTCTCTCAAGTCTACAAGTCTCAGTTTCTGTCTTCTGTTGAAGGTTAGTCTCTCCTCCTTCCTGTTTTTTGAACTCATCTCTGGGTCATCCAGTTTTATTTATTTATTTATTATTATTATTATTATTTTTTATGATGAAGATGGGTTTTGCTTTTTGATTCCTGAGACACTTTCCTTCCTTTTTTTTTTTTTTTTTTTTTTGAATTATTTACTCTCAAGTCCCTCTCTTAACCATGGAAGAACATGAAACGAAAGTCCTCTGCATATTTTCTTTTTGGCGTTTTCCTCATCTAAGCTCTTGATTTTATTATTATTTTTAGTCTAGGATGTTAAAAATTTAACTACACCATGTTTAATCAAACAAAAACAAAATCAGAAACAACAATATATAATAATATAAGGTATAACGTCTGAGTTATCAATAATTCAAAACCAATTATTTTGGATGCAGAGGACATGGAAGTCATGGCTGCACTGGGGCAACGCCCTGGTCTCATCCCCTTCCATGAACTCCCCTCAAGCAAATCGCACACTCCATTGAAGCAAACTTTGCAATTCCGCCACTGTCCTTGGTGTACGTGAACTTTGGGAGGGATTGAAGGATCTTCTTCTTGAGACCTCTGTTGGCCGAACCACGAGCGGCGGCTCTGTTGTTCTGATTAGTGCCGACACTACCCCGGCGGCCGAAACACGCACATCTCGCCACCGCAATGAAACCCACCACGCATATCAATGCACAAAGCAGAGCAGCTAATATCACAACAAAATCAGTCTCCAGGGGCACGATCTCTGGCGGTGGAGCTGCCACCGTCGACAGAATTTTCAAAGAACGTGTCATCCTGCTCATAAGCTAACGCAAAAATAAGAAGAAAGAACCAAAAAATGGAAAAAAAGACAGATTTTTTCTATTAAGATGCTCGAAAGAAGCTTGCTTCTCTTCTACCCATGAAAGCAAATACATATAGGAGAAAAAAGAGGGAGGGTTTTGTCTGGGAAAAGTAGAAGAGTAGCAGAAAAGTGGGACATGAAAGTGGGAAAGGAGGAGATAAGGAGAGAAAGAGAAAGGAAGGCAGGTGGGCGTTGCTGTGGATGATGGATAATTAAGGAGGCGTTTCGAAATTTATATAAGCTGGTTGGGAGAGACGGGGAAGCCAAGTTGCCCATTCTGTGTTTTACTTTACCTTCGGATAAGAAGAGATGGACTGGTTTTAACACCTCAAATATCTTCCTTTAACCAATGTTTATAGGGTCTTTAAACCCCTTATTTTCTTGTGGGCTTTCGAAAGTTTTGTGAAATGTGAATCTCCAAACACTTTGTCAAGTGGTGAGCATGAAAGGGATGTTCACTAGGGAGAGGATAATTTTGCTTCTTAGCAAGGTTAATTCGGGGTTTCAATTACTATATTCTTAATTTAGTCGACAAGTGGGTTTGTTTTTTTCTCGTTTTTTCTTATATCAACTATGGTGATTCGTTTGTCGTTTTTAACTAATTTAGATACTATGTAAACATAAATTACTACGCATGTGATGAAAGCTTTAAAATGGGACCGTGCTACGGCAGCATCATGCATGAGATGTTGGTAAATTTAACCTTCTGTTTGGACTATACTACTAACGGGGCAAAGAGTGATTTGGAGGTTGTGGTTCGTGAGCTTAAATACTCTGGGACATGATGTGGAGGAGTTTGGGCAGGATACCCTTCCTAAAGAGGTTCAATTTCCCCACTACTGGAGAGTGAGGACTACTAAAGCATGTGCACCTGTCTAGCAATAGAAACAAAGAAAAAAAGGTACCTTTATATATCATCCAGTTTCTTTACTCTAGTCCATGGCAAGAGAGAATATTGTTGGGTGGATCTTTATGGTTTTGTTTTTTCTTTTGAAAAGGGATTGTTATGAAAATCAACCAATATTGCCAAGGCACCCTAACATACAGATTCCACAAGGATCTTTGATCTTACACCAATTAGAAAGAGGCAGACCTCGAATTATAGTAGTAAGTTGATAACTCTCATTTAACATCTCATCTTTTCTATCAAGATGATTGCATTATGACACTTACGAAAGCTGCACATGAATACCCTTTAATATCCACTTTCAAGAGGGACTATAACGTTAGTACTAGTGTATGAACGCGAAAAAAACCAATTACCTTTCAAAACTCTCAAACATGGCTAGATTATATAGAAGTCATTCATTTGTGAACAAGCATAGTGATATCCTGAAAATGCCACTTCCAGGCTACATTCCAAAAATAATAATACTTTCTTAAAACTACTTGCAACAAAAAATTTATACAGTGATATCCGTTGTGTTGGCTGCATGATAGGAACCAAAATTCCTTCATGCTTGCCTTGGCTGGGCAAGCCTGGCAAAGGAGAATTCACCTTCATTGCTGGTGGTTTCTTCATGGTGGGTTTCATGCATTTCAGTAGCTTGATCATCATGATCCACTGGCGCTGGTGTGGGTGATAATGGATCAGCTTCAAGATCAGATGCATCGCGATCATCATAGGCAAAAGAAGAGCGTGTTGAATGACCGGTTGTCTTGAAACGGTGCAGTGTGTTTTGGGAGACTGATGAAGGAGGAGAACTTGAATTTCCACCAAGAGTTTTACTAGACTTTCCAACCTTCCCCCGCTTTTTCTTCACAGCCTTGTGCCAATTCTTAAGGGCTATAGATGTTTGCTCATCAAAGATCGATTTCTTCATCCTTGAACCCATCTGCAAGCATCCACCATGACAAGGCACACCTGAGTATGGCAAATTGTAGGGGAAATTTAATTCACTAAGTCTTGATGTGAATACAGCACCTGAGTTACGAGGGCATGTAATGGCAGTGTTATGTAGCTGCACAAGCATAGGACTCCAGCCCTGCAAGCCCACAATGGCTAAATCAATCATTCAAGCATTATACCAGCATTTTCTATCCTATGTGAATTTGAAACAGCTTCTTTCACTGGTACTTGTAGAATCAAAGCTTACCCCAATGCTACTTTGACAATGGCAAGCTTGTAATTGGCATGTAAGCAAGTTGTCTCTCCATGTGGATGCTGCACAAGGAATTATATAAGTGTTACATTAAATTTCGATGCCAAAAACAACAAAAAGAGAGACGGGGTTGGAGGTTTTGAGCAGAAGGGTCAGTAGAGTTCTGTTCATTACCCAAATCCAAAAGAAATATGTTATCTGGAAGGCATTCTGCACACACAAGAAATCAAATAGAGCAATAAGTCCTTGGCACAAGGAGGAAACTTGAGAAGCTGAAATCTAAAGCTCAAATACTGACAATTTCTCAATAGACCAATAACTTAGATAAAAATCAGCAAGACTGGGGGGCATTAGGTACCTGGAACAAAGCAAAATGGATGAGATGAAGAACTAATTGGGGCCGGCCAAACCAAAAATATTTGTCAGAGCCTTGCACAAGAGGCATTCCTTGGACCACTGCATGCCTTTCTGTGATTTCAAGAGCCATCTTTAGCAAAATGGCTTGAAGCTTTGTCCCAACAGCTAGGATTATCTGTAATGATTAAATGATTATGACACCAAAATCTTTGAACATTCTAATGCTGTTACAAGTTAAGCTAACTTACAATGACTGGAATTAAAGATGCCCATAATAACGTGTGCCATCCTGAAGAGGAACATAATTTATGAGCAAGAGGAACACAGCTTCTAATTCAGTCTGGAAATGCAAATATATACTGTTTTTGGATTTTTCCAAGAAAAAAGTGGCTTACCATTAACATTTAGGAGTACAAAGATCACAAAAGATGCCCACAACAGAGGACTGCAAGCAAAATGATCATGGGTTGAGACACATTAAGTACAAGGTATGACTATCATAGGAAGATAAATGATGTGCAGACAGTGGAACTATTACCTTACTCCAACAACTACTTTGAAATCATCTTCTAATGATCTTTTGATGTATTTTTGGAAATCAAATTTCCTTCCTGGAGCTAAATGTAACTGTAAGATCAGCAGAGAATTGTCAGGAAAAGAATGATAACTCAACATTGGATATTGTTAGATCTGCAATCATATCTTACAGCAATAAATCCATTTCGCAATGTCAAGTAATCAGTTTTCCCAACAGACCTGAAAAACTGCCTGAAGAAGCATCCCTACAATGATTAAAGGAGTCAGTGTTGGCTTAAATAGGTAGCATAAGTCATAATATTAACTAAAACAACAAAGAGCACTTGAAGAACACATCAAAAGTAATGAGAATCTTTCCAACTTGCAACTGGCTATCATGGTGCTTTCAAATTCTTTGTACGTCAATGAAAACAAATGAGAGAAAGCATGCTTATTAAAAGAACTAATACTTAACAATATAAAAGAAGAAAGGAATCCTTGTCCAGAAACTGTTGTGTGCTTTCACAAACGATGTCTCATGAGTAAGCCTGAATCTTGAGGGGTCTGTGCACAAACATGCATCAGAATTAGTTATAGAGGCCAGATAGGTTCCAAATTAAAATGTAGGGATGAAGTTGTAAAACCATGATCAATAGTGACAAACTGAAATATATAGGTTACAGCATGTACAGGAAAATATACCATTAGAAAACTCATAGTCATGAGATAAAGTTTCCTTCTCCCACTCCTTCCAGCCGCGAATCTGTACAAGGCAGATTTCAATGAAAAATTATAAGGTACAGATCTAAGCTTTTTAGCAGCTAATGTACTAAAGAGTCCAAGGACATAGAAGTTCATTGATGGGGCATTGGTGCATTGCATTTTTGATATTTTCTTCTTCTTCAATTTGGCATATGATTTTATTTATCTACTGAAACATAGCATAAGATCAAGCAAGATATCAAAAACACATTACTTAGTAAAGAGATTATTACCTTTAGCCTCCCAAGCAACATTGTAACGGCACTATAGAGAACATGAAAAACTGCCAAGAAAAAAATAAGGATGTGCAACTGATGCAACGCATTGATAGATATAAGCGATTCATAACCCTGAAGATACAAAATTCAATCAATTAATACTTAGGAAGACTACTGAATTCGGTGTTTAAACATAATGCTGTACAATAATCTGGGAAGAAAAAAAAAAGGAACAGGTCTTAGAACTTGTCAAAAAGAAGAAAAATTCAATAACTGAGAAAAATGAAACAGCAATACATATACACTCACCTCCTTACATGTGGGTGAAGTATCAACAGCGGCTAAATATCTTCCCTCAAACCACAAGAGTTTTCGCCTACCATCCTCACCGCTACTGCTATTACTACTGCCACCATCATTGATGCCATCAGCTTCACAGGGCAACATGGTATCTGCAACCTTCGAAGAAATACAGATCCTGGCTATGTAAGTCTGTCCAAAAGTCAGCAGCAGTGAAATGAAACCCATAATCATCAACTCTGCAACAATCATTCAAAAGTCCAAACAAGCATCAACAATTTGTTGTCCCCAAAGTAACATCGAAATTTTAAAACCATTCTCACGCTTCCAAATCAGGATCAATATCATATTCCGTTAATTATAATTATAAAGTGGCTCTTACCAGCTTTGATCTTCTCCAGAGCTTCGAAAAGAGCTTTCTTGCGCCTCTCTGTGAACCACTGATATCACAACAAAGAGGTTAAACAAAAAGTACCCAAGACAACCAAAATATTGACAGAAAGATCTAAAAGATTCAAACATTAGAACACAACAGGGATTTTTTTTTGCTTCTTTTTCCTGAACCCCAAATGACAAATGTAATTCTGCAGAAATAAGATAACCCCCAAACATCCAATGGAAAACAAAGATAAAAAAACACACTTAATACAGAATCAAGCGCGTATAATCAAAATAAGAAAAGTAAAAGCTTGAAGTTAAATCCATAAAATGAACCGAAAACAGAAAATTCCATGTAGAGAAATCAGTTAAGAACAAGAGGAAACGCATAAACAAGGCGAATTCAGGTCTTGAAGGCTCAATTAATTAGCACAAGGCCTACCGTTCCAAGTTTGTGAAGAGACTTTTCCAAGAGAAACGAGATGATGATGATAACAGCACAGACACTGGCAATCGCCCATGTCGGCGTCTGACTAAGCTCTCTCTCCCCTGTACTCTCCGTTGCCGCCATGACTCTACCACTCCCTCCAAGAAAAACCCACACAGAAAACCAGAACAATAACATTTCCCCTGTTTTCATTTCCCTCCCTTTAGAATTCGGTTTGATCTCAATTCTCCCTCACAGACAATGAAATAAAAAGAGCAGAACCAGTCAGTATGAAAGCAAAGAAACAAAATTTGAATGAAACAAAACTAACCGTTCAAACCCTGTAATTGAGAAAGACAAAGTCTTCTAAAATTTTGAATATTTTCTGAAACGAGGGACAAAGATCAAAACTTTCGGTGGTGTAGTCAGAGTACATAGGTGCTACTTCAAGAAAACCTCGTAAATAACAAAAAAAACAAGCCTAAGAAAGGATCAAACAAAAACAGAACAGTGAACTCAATTATAAAAATCTTTTCTCTTTTTCTTTGTTTCAGAAATAGGGGCCCCTTGAGCAGAATCCAGAAGGCAGAATGGGAAAGGCAAGAAAATTTACAAGGAAGGCAGGAAGGAAGGTGATAAAATGGGAAGTTGATGAATGTGGGGATTCAATTTAAACGCACGGAAGCTAAGAAAGGCAGCTACATGGAAGAAGAGATTGAGGTGTGAACTGTCAAAAAGCGAAAATTGTTACTGTATGTACTAAGTACGCCAGTTGTGGCCTTAATTGTGTCGCTTCGTCAGAATGTAGACACACAATGGGGTGGTGACATCCATCAACTTCTTGGCAAATCCTACACGTAGCCGCTCTTCTTATTAAATTAATTGCTTTTAGTCCTTAATCTTATATATTAAAACTTTTAACTCATTAATGGGTCAATGTTTGAGTAAATAATTCGAAATTAACCGTTAATTTAACGAAAATAGCCCCTTAATTACTTTATAATTTACTCTCTTTTTTTAACAGGATGTGATAATTTAATATTAATTTTAAATTAGATAATTAAAAGGCCAAAAACCTTTAAAATGTAAGGTAAAAGTCTAGAAAATGATATTTTGAACAATTAAATTTAATTTGTTGGTTTGAGTAGAAAGAATTTGGTTTTCCTCAAGTAAGATTTTAAATTTAAGTTTTGTGAATGAAAAAATATGTGTTCAAAGAGTTTTCTCAAATAAAATCTAACGTAACTTGATTTTAAATTAATCGAAATTTAATATGATTATCAGATATATGAAATTAATAAAAATAAATAAATAAATAAACTTTTGCCGCATTTTGTTGGGTCTTACGTTGTGTCTTTGTCGCGTAAAGTGTTCACTCTGCATATGAAAGGATACGCCGTACGCCCTTCACATTTGCCTAGGGTGGGCAAAAACCGGTTTCGGTTAAAACCGGTTTTGAAATAATCGAAATTTTTTTCCTAATTTTAAGAACCGAAACCGAACCAAAATTATCAAAAAACCGATCACTTTGGTTATCAATAAATTGGTTTTTAATTGGTTCGGTTTCGGTTTTTGATAAATAAATAATAATCAATTATTTTGCTAATAATATATTATATTTTATCACATATTTTATCATATTTATCTTAATTTTAGTTTTTAAATAATTTATTTTTGGTTTTTGATTTTTGAGAGACTTAACCGAAACCAAACCAAAATATATTTGGTTAACATTAAAACCAAAAAAATAAAACCAAAAACCACTGAAATCGAACCAAATTCATTTTTTCGGTTCGATTTTTGGATAAACAATCGGTTCGGTTAAAAAATGCCCAGCCCTAATTTTGCCATCAAATGGACCCACATAAAACACATTTGTCATAATTTCCGAACACGGTTTTTTTTTTTTTTTAATCATGAACATGGTTAAAATGAATTATATAATAAAAATATAGTATTGATATTAAAATTATTAAATTATTTCTAATAAACAAAAATTTTGGTTTATT